CTAGGTTTGATTTACAGAAACGGGCCAATCAGAAAGAGCCACTTCAAGCTTACAAAAGGCAGACCATGGCAAGCTTCTTCGGCATTTCCCACCTTGGAGCACACCCCTACCCCAACTGCTGTGGCAGGAAGTTTCTCACTTTCAATAAATCTTGCTTTGCTCACTGTCCCTGTTTGCTTGGAAATTCTTCTTTGTTGTCAAGATTATCCTTGTCCTCATCCCACCACAACAGAAAGACCACCCATGTTCACGGGTTGGAAGAATACAGTTAAACGTTCATACTACCAAAAGCAAATTACAGATTTCATGAAATTTCTATCAAACTACAGATGACATTCTTCACAAAACTAGAAAAAGCAATCATGCAGCTCACATTGAAGTAAAGACCCTGAATAACCAACCAATATTGAGTGAAAAATGAAAACAAAACCAACAAACAAAAGTTGCAAGCATCATAATACCAGATTTCAAGACACACTACAGAGCTATTGTAATCAAAATGCATGGGATGGGCATAAAAACAAACACAAAACCCAATGGAACAGAATGGATATCCCAGAAATAAATCCATGCACCTACAGCCAATTGATTCTTGACAAATTCACCAATAACACAAAGAGAAGAAAGGATGGATTCTTTAATAAATGGTGCTGAGAAAAATGGATATCTACATAAAGACAGAAAAATTGACACCCCTCCTCCCCCCAGTTCTCACTCTACCATAGGCAATGATTTTATAGATAAGACCTCAAATGCTCAGGCAACAAAAGCAAAACTAGATAAATGGGATTATAACAAAATAACAAGCTTCTGCAAAGGATACAATCAACAGAGTGAAGAAAACTGGCAGAGTGGGAGAAAATACTTGTAAACTAGTCATCTGACAAAGATTTAGAGTCCAGAATACAAGGAACTCAAAAAAACCTCAATAATGACAAAAACAATCCAGTCAAGGAATGACCAAAGGATTTGAATGGACATTCTTCAAAAGGATAAATACAAACAGCCAACAAATTTATGAAAAGAGCTCAGTATTATTAGCAATCAGAGAAAAGTAAATCAAAACCATAATGATACAGCTTCACTCCAGTTAGAATGATTATCATCAGGGCTGGCATTGTTTTTTAATGGGTAAAGCTGCCACCTGAGATGCTGGCGTCTCATATAGGTGCTGGTTCATATCCTACCTGCTCCACTTCCAATCCAGCTCCCTGCTAATGTACCTGGGAAAATCAGAAGCTGGCCCAAGTGTTTGGGACCCTGCACCCATGTGGGAGATTCAGATGAGGCTTCTGGATTTGGCCTGGAGCACTGCCACTGAAGCCATCTGGTGAGCAAACCAGAAATGGAAGAGCTCTCTTTCTCTACTTCTCTCTATGTAACTCTCTCAAATAAATAAATCGTTAAAAAAAAAAAAAAAAGAATGATCATTAACAAAAATAAAACACTAAAAACAGATCTAACCATATGATCCAGCTATCTCACTTCCAGGGGTGTGTGTGTGTGTGTGTGTGTGTGTGTTTGTATCTCCATCCCATGGAAATCACATCAGTGTATCAAAAGAGATACATATACTCCCATGCTCACTGCTGCTCTATTCATAATAGCTAAGCTAGGGAATCAATCCAGATAATCCTCAAAAGATGAATGGGTAAAGAAAATGTGGTATATACACACAACTGAAAATTACTCAGTCACACAAAAGAATGATATACTATCATTTGCTGCAAACTGTATGGAAGTGGATGACATCATGTTAAGTGAAATAAGACTCAGAATGACAAATACATGTTCTCTCTCAATGTGGAAGCTGGGGGGAAAAGCCAATAGGAATGGAGAATAGTGATCATAAGCGACTGGGAAGGGTGTGTGTGTTTGGTGGCTGGAGGAGAGGAGACAGGGAGGTTAGATAACTGGATACCAAAACAGATACAGTAAGTTCTAGAGTTCTAAAGTACAATTGAGTGACTATACACTATTGTATATTGTATATCTTATGAATTAACAGAAGAACTCAAAAACTTGAAACAAAGTAATGACAAGGAAATACTGATCAGCATACATTGTATACATTTCCTGAAATGGCACACTATACCTCATAAATACGCACAATTATATATTAAAATTTTTTTAAAAAATTGTAATGTTTAAGGAGTCAGAAATGCTTCCTGGGCTTAGATCAACTTTGAATACATGTGTTGAATCATCACACTGTATCCTTAAAATATTGTGCAATTGAAAAAATAAAAAATTTAATATATGTGTTAAATTGAGTGATACTGGCTGGCGCCCTGGCTCACTTGGTTAATCCTCTGCATATGGGTGCCGGGTTCTAGTCCCAGTTGCTCCTCCTCCAGTCCAGCTCTCTGCTGTGGCCCAAGAAGGCAGTGGAGGATGGCCCAAATGCTTGGGCCCCTGCACCCGCATGGGAGACTGGGAGGAGGCACCTGGCTCATGCTTTGGAACGGCGCAGCACACCGGCCGTAGCAGCCATTTGGGGGGTGGGCCAACAGAAGGAAGACCTTTCTATCTGTCTCTCTCTCACTGTCTAACTCTGCCTGTCAATAAAAAAACAAAATTGAGTGATACCATCTTTCAGGAATACAGGAGTAGAAGGCAGACAGAGGCTGAAGAAGACTTGGAAATGACAGTGTCAGGAACTATGCACAGTTGATCTCAACCTTTAAAAAGATATTGCAATTATTGCAGCTTTGCTCAAGTAATATCTACACCTGCTCCTAGTGTGCACTCCTGCACTGAAGAAGCTGGATAGTGAGTGACTACATTTCCCAGTTTCCACTGTGCATAGGCTCCATCAGATGTCCAGGTCACACATGGAATTCTACTCTTAAAACCTGGAAGAAGGCCGGCGCCGCGGCTCACTAGGCTAATCCTCCGCCTAGCGGCGCCGGCACACCGGGTTCTAGTCCCGGTCGGGGCGCCGGATTCTGTCCCGGTTGCCCCTCTTCCAGGCCAGCTCTCTGCTGTGGCCTGGGAGTGCAGTGGAGGATGGCCCAGGTGCTTGGGCCCTGCACCCCATGGGAGACCAGGAGAAGCACCTGGCTCCTGGCATCGGATCAGCGCGGTGCGCCGGCCGCGGCGGCCATTGGAGGGTGAACCAACGGCAAAGGAAGACCTTTCTCTCTGTCTGTCTCTCTCACTGTCCACTCTGCCTATCAAAAAAAAAAAAAACAAACCTGGAAGAAGATGAGCAGATGAGGTAGAGAGCAAATGAAGGAGCTGGGTCTTCTCTCTAGTTGCAGAGATGTTCTGATCTCTTGAGGGGTGGAGAGTTGTAGTACAGGCAGCAGTACTAATTTTTGTGATTCTGCAGCTCCCTCGTCACACTAGCTCCAGGTTTTTCCTACTTAGCATCCCATTTTTTGCAGTGAGGTTCTCAGTCTCACTGATTTGAGATTTTGTAGACTAATGCCCCATAATTAATTTTTTTCTCTTAACTAGTTAGTGTCTCTCTAGCTTGAGTAGCTAGAGGTATGGCCTGCAACAAAGAAGCACAGAGTTTGGGTTTGTGGGTTCAGAGAAGATGACTTTCCAAAACAAATAACTGTGCACAGGTCAGAGGGAGTGGTCATTTATGTAACTTATGAATTATGGCCAGAGCCAGGCAAAAGTTTAAGTTTTGAATTACAACATCTCACATTTAAGGTCTTTGAAGACAGGGAGAAAAAGATAACATAATTCTGTAGCTAGATAAGAATATTCAAAGGAAATACTTAAGTTAAAAGTCTGATTCACAAATCAGAAAATTAGGTAAAAGTACACTTGTGGCCGGCGCCACAGCTCAATAGGCTAATCCTCCACCTAGCGGTGCCGGCACACCGGGTTCTAGTCCCGGTTGCTCCTCTTCCAGTCCAGCTCTCTGCTGTGGCCCAGGAGTGCAGTGGAGGATGGCCCAAGTCCTTGGGCCCTGTACCCCATGGGAGACCAGGAGAAGCACCTGGCTCCTGGCTTTGGATCAGCGCAGCACACCAGCCACAGCAGCCATTGTGGGGTGAACCAACAGAAAAGGAAGACCTTTCTGTCTCTCTCTCACTGTCCACTCTGCCTGTCAAAAAAAAAAAAAAAAAAAAAGTACACTTGAAGCCAGGCCCTGAAGGTGGGATATTTGGAGGACCAAGCAGGGGAAGACTACATAGAAAAAAGTTAACACCATCAAAACTGAGATTAATATCATGAGAAGAGTCAGACTATAGGGCTGACCTATGGAAAATTTTCTACAATAATAAGGCTGTCCTGCCCATCTGTAGCACTAAACCACTACACACCTGCTATCTTTCTGAGTCTAAACTCTTGATAGCTGTGGTTGCTTGCCTTGCCTATGTGACCAGTCCCCACATATCCCTGAAAATTGAGTCTTATGCAGGCTTCCCCGGCAGAAAAACTACACAAGTATTTTGTATTTCACTGCTTAAGGAAGCAGTATATTCTCTGTGTGATCATTCACAAAACAGAAAATATCAGAAGCCTGTGCACAGACGCCTCTAGAGACTGCCTGATGGCTTTTCTTCTTGCTTATTAATCTAGTAAGTTACAGCTGAATAAAAAAGAGAACAAATTACCAGATTTAAACACCACCCTTACATTACATCAGAGTTCTGTACCTCAGAAGTCAGGCATAGCATGACTGGGCTCTGCTCACGCTGAAGTTACCAAGCTATCCTTACACCAGGTGTGCCAACTGCTCAGCTGTCAGCTATTGTATTCTCATCTGGAACTTGGGGTCATCTTCTGGGTTCATTTTGGTTACTGACAAGGCAAATCCTTATTGTTGTAGGACTGTTCTCTCCATTTCTTTGCTTGCTGACAGCTGGGGTCACTCTCAGGTTTCAGAGGCCAACTTGCATTGCTTGTCATGTGTTCCCCTCCATCTTCAAGTCAGCAACAGCATAGAAAACCCTTCTCATGCTTCAAATCATTCTGAGGACCCTTTTTACTAGCAGCCTATTTCAAAGGGCACGTGAGATTAGATCAAGGCTCACCTGGATAATCTTTCGCCATTTAACATAACACATTAAAGGTGTGAAATTTCATCAGCTGTCACAATTCTGGTTATTAGAGCAGAAATTCTTAAAAGGCTTTTTAGAATTCCTTTTCCTAAGGAAAGAAAAAAAAAAAAAGAAAAAAAAAAGAAAGAAAAAATACCTTGAGAAATACGAGGGGGCTTCAAGTTCATGAAAAGTTCATGTTCTCTTAATCTACTTTTCCATGACCATTTTGAAGCCCCCTTGTAATTCATATACCACAAAAATTCACTCATTGTCTTTTGCTGGTCATACTGATTTTTTTAAAAACTGACACATAAACATTGTACATACTCATGAGGTACCATGTGATGTTCTGATACATGTATACACCGTGTAACTGTACAAAGATAAACTCACCTACTCAAATACATAATTTCTTTATTATTAAAACATTCAAACTCTTTTTTAAAATATAAAAATGTAGCTTTTTAAAGAAACAACCATACATTATCATTATCTATAGTCATCCTATTGTGCAACATAATAGCAAAGCTTCCTAGTCCTATCTAACCATAACTTAGCACCTACTAATCAACCTTTCCTCTTCCTCACCCTCACTACTCTCCCAGGTCTTTGGTATCCACCTTTCTACTCTGAACTTTTATGAGATTGATGTTTTTACATTCCACAGAACTCCCCAACTTTTAAGTATACAACTCAGTGGCTTTTAGTATATTCAGAGTTGTGTATCCTTGCCCTCAAATGAAACTCCCTATTTTAGTACTCATTCCATACTCCCCTCTTCCACCAGCCTCCAGCAACTACTAAGCTATTTCAGTCTCTATAGATTTGCTAATTCTGTACTTTTCATGTAAATGAATCACACAATATTTATCTTTTCCAACTAGAACTTTCACTTTATTTTCAAGGTTCATCTTTGTTGTACCATGTATAAGAACTTAATTCCTTATTTTTGCTGAATAATTTTCTGTTGTATGAAGATACCACATTTTGTAAAACCATTCATCATGGGCATTTGGGTTGTTTTCACTTCTGACTTGTGAATAATACTGCTAATAACGCTTTCGTACAAGTGTTCGTGTATAAATACTTTTATTTCTCTTGGGTATATATACCTTAAAATGGAATTGCTAGGTCATATGGTAACTCACTGTTTAACCTTTTGAAGAAGTGCAAACTTCTTAAAGCTGTTTTACCATTGTGTAATCTACCAATGGTATACAAGAGTTCCAATTTTTCCACATCCTTGCACAGTTATGTCCATCTTTTTGATTACAGCTATCCTAGTTAGCAGGTGTGAAATGCTATCTGGTTATGATCTGTATTTCTCTGGTGACTAATGATGAGGGTCATCTTTATATATGCTTATTGGCAATTTGTGTATCTTTGAGAAACGTCCATTCAGATCCTTTTAAATTGAATTTGTCTTTTATTGAGTTTCAGGAGTTCTTTATAGATTCCATATGTCTCTTCATATATGTTTTGCAAATATTCTGTTTTCTGGAAAGTCCTGTCACTTTCCTGATGGTATCCTTAAAAGCACACTTATTTATTTATATATTTTTTAGATTTATTTATTTATTTGGAAGGCAGAGCTACAGAGAGGGAGAGAGAGAGGGAGGGAGGGAGAGAGGTCTTCTATCCACTGGTTCACTCCCCAAATGGCCCCAATGACCAGAGCTGAGCCAGCCAAGAGCTTCTTCTGGGTCTCCCACCGGGTGTTGGGGCCCAAGGACTTGGGCCATCCTCCACTGCTTTCCTAGGCTATAGCAGAGAGCTGGATGAGAAGTGGAGCAGCTGGATCTTTAACCGGTGCCCATATGGGGGGGGGAGGGTGTGCCGGCACAGCAGGTGGCAGCTTTACCCACTATGCCACAGTACCAGCCCCCAACAATTAATTTTGATGAAGTCCTGACATCTTTTTCCTTTCATTGTTTGTGCTTTTGATGTCATTACCTAAGTATCTATTGCCTAAAGTCACGCAAGAATGAGCCCAATATCTGTTTTCTTTCAAGACTTTCATAGCTCAGCTTTTAGGTCTAAGATCAATTTGAAGTTAATTTTTATATGTGGCATGACATAGTGATTCAATTTTATTCTTCTACATGTCTATATCCAGTTATCATAGCATCATTTACTGAAAAAAATATTTTTCCTTATTGACTTGCCTTGATATTCTTGCCAAAATCAGTCAACATGACTGATGAAATATGATTTTTTTGGAGTATAAATCTTACTTCCATTGATCTGTATTTCCATCTTTATCCCAGTGCCTTAAGAATACGGTAGCTTTGTAACAATTTTTATTATAGTAAAATATACTTAATATTCATCACTACAACAAATTTTAAGTGTTCAATTCAATGGCATCAAGTGCATTTACACTGTTGTACAATCATCATCACTATTCATCTAAAGAAATTTTTCATCAGCTCCAAAGAAGTAAATACCAAAATAAAGAACAGCTGAATTAAAGAAATCTTTTCCCCTCTTTTCCAAGATTGTTTTGGCTATTTTGGCACTCTCGCATTTCCATGTTAATTTTAGGACTGCATCAGTCTGCTAATCTCTTCAAGACTTTGATAAGAATTGTAGATCTTAGATGTATAGATCAATTTGGGGAATGCTGGGTTTTTAACAATATTAATGCTTTGAATCCAGAAAAATGATTTGTCTTTCCATATATTTTGTTCTGCTTTAATTTCTCACTGTGTGTGTATGTGTGTGGCAGAGGAAGAGGAACAGAAAAGGTGAGAAGAGTGAAGGCACCTCCCCATCTTCTGGCATACTCCTCAAATTCCTGCATTGGCTAGGAGCCAGGAATTCCAGGTCTCCGGAGTGGTGGTAACCCAACTACCTGAATTATCACCACTGCTTCCCAGGATCTGCATTAAGCAAGAAGGAGGAATGAGACATGGGAGCCAGTATTTGAATCCAGGCACTCTGGTGTGGGATGTGGACATCCTAACCAGTGTCTTAATCATCAGGCCAAATGTCCACCTCTCCACATTCTTTTGTAGTTTTCAGTGCATAAGTCACTGATTTCTGTACATTTACAAGGATTCTATTCTCTTTGATACTACTACAAATGGAATTAATAACTTTTTTTGGATTGTTCATTGCTAGTATATAGCTTTTTTGCCTTCTCTTTTCTGGACCCCTCAAGTTCTTTTTCTTTTTAATATAAGATCATGTTATTTGAAAGTGTACATATTGTACTTCTTCCTTTCCAGTTTGGATGCCTTCACTTTTTTTTCTTGGTGCCAGTTTGCTCAGCTATGACCCTGATACAATAATAAATAGAAGTAGCAAGAATCGAATTCCCAAGATTTATTTACGTATTTGAAAGTCAGAGTTACAGAGACAGAGAGAAATCTTCCATCTGCTGGTTCACTCTCCAGATGGCCACTACAGCTAGGGTTGGGCCAGGTGGAAGCCAGGAGCTTGTTCTGTGTGTCCCACGCAGGTGGCAGGGGCCTAAGCATTTGGGTCACCTTCTGCTGCTTTTCCCAGGCCCCTAGAAGGGAGCTGGATGGGAAGCAGAGCAACTGAGACGTGAACCTTTGCCCACATGGGATGCCAGCATCACAGGTGGCAGCTTTACCTGCTACGCCATAACGCCAGCTCCTGGAACTCTTTTTCTCAAAAAAAATATTGAGAGACAGAAAGAACTGCCACGTGTTGGCCCTGTGGGCATCACAACCTGGAGCTTCATCACTAAGCCAAACATCCACTCCAGCAGGATTCTTATTGTGCAGAAACAGTGAACACAGCAAGCCCAATACTTCAATCCTCAGAAAGGACTGCTCAGAAGTTTGGTTCTTGGGGCTGGCGCCCTGGCGCACTGGGTTGGTCCTCCGCCTGCGGCGCCGGCATCCCGTATGGGCACCAGTTCTGTGGTTGCTCCTCTTCCAGTTCAGCTCTCTGCTATGGCTCGGGTGCTTGGGCCCCTGCACCTGCATGGGAGACTGGGAGGAGGCGCCTGGCTCCTGGCTTCAGATCGGCACAGCTCCGGCCGTTGGGGCTATTTGGAGAGTGAACCAACGGAAGGAAGACCGTTCTCTCTGTCTTTCTCTCTCACTGTCTGTAACTCTACCTGTCAAGTAAATAAATAAAAATCTTAAAAAAAGTTTGGTTCTTGGCTGTTACCTGGGAACTTGGATTCCCACCATTCCCTGGTAAGAATTGCTCAGTGTGCTTAAACTGTTAGTGCAAATACTGCATTTTATACTGAGTACTTGCTTTTCTTCAGGGAGTCTAGGATTTGGGTTTATGCTAAGCAGAGATGCCTACATGACTGATTTTCAATTAAAGGTGTGGACTTCAAGGTTCAGGTATGCTTCCTAGGTGGACAACATTTCAGATAAAATGTTGCTGGAGGAAATTAAGTGTGTCCCATGTGATTTCACTAGACAGGGACTCTTGAAAGCCTGAAGCTGATTTCCTTGATGAGCCCACATGCAACTTTCTGTTTGCTGATTTTGCTTTGTATACTTTTGCTGTAATAAATCATGCATAAGTATGACCATCCCCCAAGTCCTGTAATCATCATAGCAAAATATCAGATCTGGGTGTGGTCTTGGGTGACCCTTGACATATTTTTCTTATTTCTGATCTTTAGCAGAAAGTAGTCAGTTTTTCATCATTAAGTAAGATGTTACCTGTAGGTTTTCCAGAGATGGCCTTTATTAGGTTGAGAAAGTTCTATCTCTATATATCCTATTTCTAGATTTAAAAAAAATTCAAACACTTATTTGAAAGTCAGAGTTACAGAGAAAGAAGACAGATAGACAGACAGATAGATAGATACTGGTTCACTCATTAGATGGTTGCTACCACCAGGGCCAGACCAGGCCTAAGCCAGGAACCAGGAGCTTTTTCTAGGTCTCCTATGTGGATGGCAGGGGCCCAAACACTTGGGCCATCTTCTGCTACTTTTCCCAAGCCATCAGGACGGAGCTGGATCAGAAGTGGAGCACTGCGCATCCCATATGGGTGCCAGTTCAAGTCCCAGCTGCTCCACTTGCGATCCAGTCACCTGCTATGCCTGGGAAAAGAGAAGATGGCTCAAGTGCTTGGGACCCTGCACCCACGTGGAAGGCTCGGAAGAAGCTCCTGGCTTCAGATCAGCTCAGCTCTTGTCATTGAGGCCATCTGGAGAGTGAACTAGCGGATCGAAATCTTTCTCTCTGTCTCTCTCCCTCTCTGTAATTCTACCTCTCAAATAAATAAAATATATATCTGAAAAAACCCTCATAAGGCTGGCACCGCGGCTCACTTGGCTAATCCTCCGCCTGCAGCACTGGCACCCCGGGTTCTAGTCCCGGTTGGGGGGCCAGGTACTAGTCCCAGTTGCTCCTCTTCCAGTCCAGCTCTCTGCTGTGGCCCAGGAAGGCAGTGGAGGATGGCCCAAGTGCTTGGGCCCTGCACCCGCATGGGAGACCAGGAGGAAGCACCTGGTTCCTGGTTTCAGATTGGCGCATCGCGCAGGCTGTAGCAGCCATCTGGGGGTGAACCAATGGAAAAGGAAGACCTTTCTCTCTGTGTCTCTCTCACTGTCTTAACTCTGCCTGTCCAAAAAAAAAAAATATTTTTTAAAAAGTGGAGCAGCTGGGACACAAATCGGCTCCAGACAGGATGCCAGCATTACAAGTGGTGGCTTTACTTGCTATGCCACAACACCAGCCCCTTAAAAAAATTTTTTAATAGGGGGGCTGGTGTTGTGGTACAATGGGTTAAGGCTGCAGCTTACAACGTTGGCATCCAATATCCAAATGTTGGTTTTAATCCTGGCTGCACTGCTTCCGTTCAGCCTCTTGGTAATGCTCCTGGAAAGGCAGAGGAAGATGGCCCCGGGCACTCACGTGGGAGACTTGGATGACATTCTTGATTTCAGCTTGGTCCAGCCCTAGCTATTGCAGGCATTTGGGAAGTGAATCAGCAGATGAAAGATCTCGATCTCTCTTCCTCCCCGTCCTTCCCTTCCTCTCTCTCCCTGTCACTCTGCCTTTCAAATAAATAAATAAACCTTTTTTAAAAAAATGTTTAAGTCATGAAAGGGCATCAGATTTTGTTAAGCACTTTTTCAGCATTTATTGAGATAACCATGATTTTTGTCATTTATTCAATTAACAGGGTGTATTACATCAATTTTCATGATAAACAAACCCCACATTCCTAAAATAATTCACTTTTCATAATTTCTACTATAGAAAGCAGACAGACAAATTAAGAAAGCAACGTAAAAATACATAGCTTCAAGTAGTGGTAAGTACTGAGTATATTAAAAAAAGGTATTCTAAACAAAGAGATCAGTATGTATGGGTGTTACTATCAGAACTACATTCAGAAAGGCTTCTCTGAGGAAACAGTATTTAATTAGAGATCTGAACGACGCCAGAAAGAGAGATATTCAGAGCAGAGTAAGTGCGGGTGGAGGGCCAAATTACAAAAGGCCTGAAGCAGGAGCAAGCTTAGTGTATTTACAGCCACAGCCTTAACAACACGAAGGCAGCCAGGGACAAAACAGAGTGAAAATAGTCAGAAAGGTCGACGGAGAGGCAGATCACACAGGCATCTGAGGGTCTGGAGTTCATTGTGATTGCGATGGGAAGGCACTGCAGCAGCGTCTCAGCCAGCCTGCCTACACAGCCACTCTGCTGCTCGGTTTTCTAACTCACATTCGCCTTCCAAAGTCCAGCCTCACCTCCTCCGGAACATGTTCCTTTACTTCCCAAATAGCGCCGGCCACCTCCCCGGGGCTACCTCCCAACAATAATCATTGACCTCCCTCACACCTCGGGGGACCTAGTCCCAGCCTTTTTCTTTCACGGAACTGTCTTTGTAGCCCCAGAGTGTAACACAGCGATGGGTATTAAATAAACGTTGGCTCGAAGTAAAATTCTGACCCATTCAGTCGCCCAAGTTCTCCTCTGGACCACGTCCCCTCCGGATGCTGTACTCAGAGGGGCGTGCGGCTGCCGCCCCGGGAGGTCGGCGGCATCACTGTCCTCGCACTCCGCCACCACAGGAAGGGCTTGGCTTTCAAGAGTGCTGCCCTGGCTGGGAGCGCCTCTTAGAGACCCAGCGTCTTAACTGTCAGGTGCTCGCTGCCCCGACTCTGCACGTCCTTCCCGGGCCCTGGGGTGGGGCACATCATGGAGGGAAGCTTAGAGGCTTCCCAGCTCTGCCTCCAAACCCTCCTGGCAAACCCTGCCCGGGCCTAGACAGGCACACCAGCTTCCCCATCTTGCATCCTTGGCAACGGAAGTCACAGCAGCGATGACCACTCATCCAACAGCGTCCGGCGTCGCACCGCCCACCCGCACCTCATCCATCGGCTCCTGTCTTCTACTCCACACTCCCCAGTCCCAGCACCCATAAGTTGGGGCTCCGACCCCACTCACCTAGGATGCGGGTGATGCCCAGGGTCAGCTTTTCCAGGTGCGGCTTGTTGGAGCCCTGCAGCGGGGGCGGCGCATCCCCCATCTCTCGCGTCCCTGTCGGGCGCGCGGCCGGGGCAGCGGCGGCAGCGGGCGTGGAAAGCCGGTCGGGCCGGAGGAAGGCGGGGCTCCGCCTCAGCGCCGCGGCCGTCAAGTCCACGGCATGCCGGGAGCTGTAGTTCTCGGCGCTTGCGAGAGCTGTGGGGAGGAGATGGGGCCCCCGGCCTGGTCTCGCAGCAGTAGTTCCGCGGGACGTTCGTTCCCGCGGCCCGGGCCTCTGCTCCACACCGCACCGCCAGGACACCGCCTGCCCTCCGCCCGGACCCTCTCGCCCCGCCGGGGCCGGGCGCGCAAGCGGGGACGGGCCTCTGCGCGGAGCAGCCAATGGGGACCGAGCCTGGAGGCCGGGGCGTGGCGGCCCCGGCGCGACGCCCGGAGTGGCGGTTGTTTCAAGATGGCGGACTCGGCGGGCCCCTCCCGCTCGGGTGCCTCCGCGTTCTGGAGCCGCGATCGTATCCTTTGCCCGCCTGCCAGGGGGCGCCGGCGCCCTCCCCCAGACGGCGAGGGGCGAGCGGTCACGTGGGAATCTGAGTGGAGAGGAAACTCCTGTGCTGGTTCCGTGGGTGGGGGCCGTGCTCTCCCGCCTGTCCTGGTGCCGGGCTTTCGCCTGTATCAGGTGTCTCCGGGCTGGAATTCCAGGTGTCTGAGCGCATCACCTATGGTTGCCTGCCCTCCCTAGCTGTGAGCTCCGGACAGATGGTCTAGAGTCGTCGCCCAGCCTGTGCCTGGCAGGGTCCCTCTGCCTTCCCTCCCGGGGTGACCCCAAGCCAGCTGAGGGTGCAGAGTGAGAGTGTGCTTGGGCGACGAGTGGGTGTGGGCAGCGCAGGGACGACTGCTGGCAGGCAGCATTTTTGCCTTGATTTAGGATTTTCCTGAGTCTGCGACGTTAGGGGAGCGAGTCAGGACCCTGTCGGACTTCTAGAGCCCATAGGTGAAGTTGGGTGTTGGTCCTGGGGCTGTAGGAGAGCTGTGGGTCTTAGTGTCGCCAGTCCGTGGTTGGGTTGTGCAGGTTAGAGAGTAAGACGCGAATCACTGAGCTTGGAAGTAACGCTGTTGACTTGCGTGGAGACTGTGGGTCACTACGGCCAGGGATCCAAGTTCTTGGGTTCTTTTGGTGTGGGACCGTGGAGCTTTGAGCCCCGTGGTAGTATTCCCAGATGAGCTGTTCGCGTGACAGCGGTGTTTTTTCCTGGATTAGGTCGACTGTTCAGGCTGAGCTTGGGTCCTGACATTTCTCGTTCCTTAAGGGGTGTTCCTTGAGAGGAGGGCAGTGATCCCGGGTCTGCAGAGGCGGGTCTGTGTCTTCGCCCAGAGTGACGATGGCATTTTTGGAGGCCATGCCCTTACCTTTGGCAGAATCACCCTTTGGACGTTCTACTGAGCTCGCAGTAAAACTTACAAAGTTACATTATAAGTTCCTCTTATACAGTTAGTAAGAGTAGACTGTCATGTGTGGAGAGAGGGATGTTTTTGCATTTTGTGCTGCTAAACGTTTAGTGTTATGTACTGACTAAATCTAATTACCACTTGTCTCCGATAGGTTCTCGGGAAACAAATGAAATCACGTAGAGATCAGAGGTGAAAACATGTAGTGCACTGTGTAAATGAAATATTTTTTCCCTTACCTGTCAGTAGTCCCTTGCACTGGGGACTTCTGGGCTGATTTCCGAAGTCAGGAAATTGAGATGAGTCTTTTTTCCTGAAACACTATCTCTGCATTGATAGAATTTTGTGACAGGAGATACTGAAAGCTTACTAGTTTATAACAACTAATGATAGTGTTCTGATGTAGAATAAATGGTTGAGGGGAGGGTTACAGTATGTAGGCTAAGCCTATGCTCTTGGTCTTAGCCTCATATGTGCACTTCTTCATGTAGTCCTATTATTCCCTATTGCATGTAAAAAAACATATATTCTCCCTTATCTCTTATATTCTCTCTTTCAAAACTTAATGGAAAAAACCATGTTTCCGTTAATAGCGAGGAATTGAAATTATATGGGAAAAGAATGGTGGTGATTACATCCTATGAAATCCAGACATAGAAAAAGAATTGAAAGGTTATTAGTATCAAGTGTTTCCCCAGCCTATTCCACCCAATGACCAGTTGCCACCCAGACTCAGATATTTTAATTTTAAGTCTCCATAGGACATATAAGCAATGCCAAATGTGAATTTGTGGCTGAATGTTTGCCGAAAGACATGACAGTTCCAAGTCATTTAATATAGTTAGGTATCATGAGGTCTCCATCACTTTTCTTGTCATGTTGATAATATCCCAGACTATCCTAGAGCCTTTGGAGTAGAATTTTCAATAGAAAAATACCAAAAAGTATGTGTCTGTAATGGGTATTTCTTTCACATTGGAAAAATTTCTTTAGATTCTTGACCTAAATGATTTCAGAATGTGATTGAGAAAGTTCCCAATCCTAGATGCTTCCATCATGAGAGGACAGACAGATCATCACTGAACTTAATTTTTTTTTACTGTTGTTCTTGTGAATTGTGCATCTCCAGCATCCAGTACACTATGATTCAACAGTGCTGTTTTGGCACAAAGCATGCACAAAGCATGCCAAACAGTATGCTTGTTGTCATTTCATGGGTTAAATCTTCCAGTAAAGTATTCCCCCTTTCATTGTAAATTGCTTTCCTCTTTCATAATAGCTCCTGGTAATGTCAGAATAAGCTAGTGTTTCTTTAATATCTAAATTTGATTGCTTATATACTTTCAGGTGTATTATCATTAACAATATTAGTTAACTTGATATTAACAAATATGAACTGCGAAGGACTTGATCAAAACATTACAAGAGCTATAGTCTCTGCCATTGAGTTTTCAAATAAAAATAGACAAAGACTTTATATTGATATAAAAATAATATACTAGCCCAGAAAATCTCTGTGGTCAGTAATAATTCCACATATATGTGTTGGTAGCAAGTAAGTCACATTCAGTAGAGTGGGCAGTATAAGTTTATTTCTTTCATATCTGAGAGGTCTGGGATAGAGATGTTCGTTCTCTCTACAAATTCTTTCTGGGTTTCTAGTTACTACTTCAATTTTGGGAGTTTGGATAGACTGGAACCAGCATTAAAGCTGCTTCCAAAGCAAAGAACTAAGGTGCACATGGAACCCTATAGTATATCCAGTGTTCAAGTACATTTTGTATATATTGTCTTTGAGTTCCCCATAAAATATACATTTGTTGAAAAATGCTCTGTTTGAAGAAGGTAAATATTTGGGTTCTTAATATTTAAGAACATTTAATATTTCTTAAAATAATGAGATAAAGATTGTGAATTATGAGAAAGGGTAAATTGGATGAAGGCAACTAGAAATGTTTTTATCCTTAATTTTTCAAAAGCTTGTTGAAGTCAGTTTATTTAGAGTTTTTAATATTTGAAAATAAATTTTCCATGAATGTAGCTAGAATATGTGTTGTGTACATAATTTGAATTACATAGAAAGATAACACGAAGTTGTTGAAAATGCCTCAAGAAATTAAATACCAATTCCATTCTTTCCTGGATGACTTACTATGAGCCAGGCATTGTTTTTATGTTTGGGGATACAATGTTGAACAGAACAATGAAAATTGGTACTCTCTTGGTGCTTACATTAAAATGAGAGACAGAAAGATGAGTAGAGCTCCCACCCTCTGGTTCACTCCACAAATGCCTGCAACAGCCAGGGCTGGATTAGAATTGAAGCTTGCAGCCAGGAATAGGATGCATGTCTTCCACATGGTTGACAGAAACCCAATTAACTGAGCCATTACCGCTGCTTCCCAGGAAGTTAGAGGCTAGATTGAGGGTTGAGGATAGGGAGTGGGCATTTAGCAGTGTAGTTAAGATGTTGGTTAGGATGCTGGCATCCCATATCAGATTGCCTGGGTTTGATACCTGGCTCTCTTCCTAACTCCAGCTTCCTTCTAATGCAGACCCTAGGAGTCAGTGGTGATGGCTCAAGTAAATGGGTCCCTGCACCCACATAGGATGAAGAGCCAAAGTGACTATTTTGAAACAATAAAAAGCAGTCTCCATTTCCCATAGCAGACCCAAGTCCTTGTAAAAGCAGGCATTCAGGCATTCCAGAGATATCAAAGCTTACCAAAGACAGCTAGTTCGGTAGACCAAGGGCAGCTCAGTAGAGATTACCAAATGAGGTAACTCCCTGAACCCAAGCCAAATGGAGACCCGCCTCCCCCACCCCCCCCAATCACAAAAGGCCCCACACCCTAAGCCCTTGCTGACATATCTTCCCTTAAAAGTGTCCCGGAACAAAGACCTGGGCCTTTCCTCCTTCCTCCTCTGTGCTGGTTGGTTGGATGAGGTCCCTGTTGCGGCTTGTACCTTTTTAATAAAAACCTTGCTTTTGCATTTTGGTGTGATCAGGTTGCTGATAGCTTCTTGGGGATCTACTTATCTGGGCATAACAAGGAGACCTAGATTGCGTTCCAGACTCCTGACTTCAGCCTTGGCCCAGCCCTGTCTACTGAAGGCATTTGACAGAGTGAACTAATGAATAGGAGACACACATATACATTCTCTCTCTCTTTCTCAACATACATAGTAGATAGACATGTATGTGGATGCAGGTGGCAGGTGTCTTAACTGCTAGGCTAGATGCCTGCTCCTTGACCTTAACAGTTTATTGAGCTGAGGCCATTAATAAATAATAAATTACATTGTATGTCCAATAAGTATAAGTACTATGGAGAAAAATAAAGTAGGAAAGAGGCAAGTAGTAGGGAGAGGTAAACAGGTTACAGAAAGAGAGTTTTTCAATTATAAGTAACTATATGATTAGGAAGTAAAATCTCAATCAGAAGGTGACCTATAACCCAAATCCTAAAAGTGGTGATGAAGTGATCCATGAAGATATTTGATGAAAAAATATCATCAAAGCAAAAGTTCTGAGGCAGGAGTTTGCACCACTCATTAACAAGTGTAAGTAAATGAGGAGTGAGTGAGGGAAACAGCAGTAGATAATTAGAGAAGTATCTTAGCATGGAGTGGTTAGAACTTGAGCTTTGTAGGCCCTTTTAAGTATTTTGACTTTTAATCTGAATGCAAAATGACATAATTTTAACATGCTCACTCTGATCACTGTGTGAAAAAGAATCTGTTGAGGGGTCATGCATAGAAACCAGAGAGAGCTGGTACAAGATTATTGCCATATTCCTGGTGAGAGGAAAAGGTGACATGGATCAACGCCAGTAGTTTTTGTTAGAAATGATTGGATTGTTAGTATGTTTTGAAGGTCACATTGACAGGAATAATTAAGAATAATGTGAGATAGGAGAGAAACTGGAGTCATGGATAACTCCATGTTTTTGATCTGGGCAGCTGCAAGATTAGAATTACCATTTACTGAGATGATGAATGTTAAGGGAGCAGCAGTTTTTGATGAAAGGTTAGGACATCAGTCTTGGACATGTTAAGTTTGAGATATCTTTTCCAAATGGCAATGTCAGGTTTAGGGGATTAGGCACCTGCTAATGATCAATTTGGTGGAAGTCAGCATGTTGATGGTATTTAAAGTCCTGAGAACTGAATGAAATCACCAAGTGAATGAGTAGAGAAAAAGAACCAAGGTTTATCAACAAGGAAGGATCTAAAGAGACTAAGAAGGAATAGTTGGAAAAGGAGGAGGAAAATTATGAATGTGGAGTGTCTTTGAAGCTAAGCAAAAGTGTTTTAAGGAGGAGGGTGGATATCAATGGCAAATGCTGTCGATAAATCAAGTACTCAGAAGCTGAAAATTCACTCAGTGTTTGACAGTCATGCCATTGTAACCTTGGTAAACGTAGTGGCATGGGCTGATGAAGTCAAAGTGTGATTGTCAAATGCTAGATATTGAGGGTAGAGTAGGTGAGGACAGTGTGTCTCTTTTGAGAAGTTTCACTTTTGACTGAGCAAAAATGGGCCAGTAGCTGGAGGGGGATGTAAAATCAGGGGAGGCTTTTCTTTTCCTGAAAATGTAAATTATTACAGGTTTGGATACAGCAGGAAAAATTTAATAGGGAAAATGGTTGGTTCAGGAAAAAGAAGAGAATATCAGAAGCAACATCCTTATGTTAAAAAAACAAAAAAATGAAATAAAAACAAAAACACATGGGGTGTGTTTATGTATGCATAAGGGCTATATTGGATTTATGTAAAGTTATAAACGGTTCATCCAAAAAAAAAAGGAAAGGAAAGCTGAATATATGGAGAGTTTATGGAGGTAGAAACAGCAAAGTTGTTGGATATGCTAATAGAAGGTTAAGGAAAATTTACGGTTAGTTTTTTTTAATGATATGAGGAGCAAAGTTACTAGCGAGAGTAAGGATGGGAATGATGATGTCAGATTTGAAAGGGAGGTGAAAGGATGAAATACTTGCTTGGGCTTCCAGACCTAGGTGAAGAGGAGTGGGATTCCGCAGCGTTGGTCTCTTCCTGGGAGCAGGCTCCTTTGTGAATAGTCAAGGGAAGCGTGTGTTTTCCAGGACTCAGTTATGTTAAGTCTTTCCAAAGCTCATCCTTGGGACATAAACTGAAAATTCATCAGTATTCTTGCCTTCAAATTAAAGACACTGTTGTATGGAGCATGTCTTTCAGCATTGTCTTAGAACCCCATGCCCACTTGGGTTCTTTTTCCCAGGTACACGTTCCAAACAGCAAGAAAGTGTTCATTGAATGCATACAGTCCCTGTTCTGGTCTGAGGATATGAAAAAAGAAATGTTTTTGATGTTGTGAAACTTGCATGATTTCATATTATAAGGCCATTTTTTAAATAATAAGAGCATGCCTTTTAATTGAAAATATTTGGGTATAACTACCCCAGAAGACACATTGAAATATATAGTATTTCTGATATTTAGAATGGATCACAAGCCAGTCAATAGATTAGTTATCAGTGAGTTTAGAAATTTTCTCTGTGTTCCTGTATTAGTTGCTAGCAGTTTCCCTGAAGTAGTGGTTTCTGATTTTTGTTTCCTTGCCTTTTGTGTCTCCTAAAACATTCTAAGCTCTATCCCTGATATTTTAGAAAATTGAAAATTTAGGGGTACTAGTCTTTAGCCAGAATCTCAAAGCTGTGTTAGCATAGTGTGTTGCTGTTGAGAGTTACTAGAAAGCAATGGCTGCTGAGACGGTAAGCACCACCTGAATATTCCTGAGTTCCTTGGGTTCAAGTATTCCCCCAAAAGACTCCATTACTAGGATTTAGACTGAGATGAAATAATTATATATTATCTTTTTGAGCAAGTTATTAAATCCATTCTAGTCTTTTGCAAAAAGGATATAGTTAATAATTGCTTTCCTAGAAATGTTTGAAATCAAAAAAGCACAGAAAACTTTGAAATTTGCTAGATCATTTGGGGAAAAAAATCTGTTTAGCTGCTTCTTTCCCAAAAGTATAAGAGATTATCAGATTATCTGAGTTTAGAACTGGATTTAGATATAGTTCTGTATCAAATTTAGTTTCTGGAAAGAAAGCTTTCTTATTAAATTGCTTCTTTTTCTCTAACAGCATTATGACCTTAACTTTTCTAAATTCCTCCTTTTGAAATTCAAAATAGTTCTCTTTGTGTTAAATTTCTTCCACTTTTTAAACAGTATGGCTTCTTGGGCTATATCATGGATGCACTGCAGAAGAATAAATGTTGCTTTTGTGATTGCATGATTGACTTGCCCTCAAACTAAATTTGTTCTTCAAATCTAAAGCCCACCTTGAAGTTTTTATTCCTTCTGCTTAAAATAATTTTTCAGTTTCCCAGTAATGAACAAACAGGAGCACTTAACTTCTTGTTTTCAAAAGGAAAGGAAACCTAGCCACAAAAGGCTGTATATTGTAGTTTATCTCACTTGGGAAAAGGAGAGAATAACAATTCTATAAAATAAAATTTTTAAAAATTCTTACAAACCAAATAGTTGTGAGTATATAAAGATGAACTTTGGAATAATATTGATTATGCTGCATTTAACAATCCCTTTGCTTTCTAGTGGTGTTTTAAAAATTAGTTATAAATTCCCAGGTATAAAGAGATGATGAATTGTAACAGATATACATAAGAGATGTAGCTTTGGGATATTGGATAATTTTTCATAATATTTTCCTTCACGTCCTCCTGCATAGTTTCTGATGAAGAGCAATCAGTGATATATGTTCCAGGTATGATCTTCTGTGTTAAAATTTTGGAAGCCTTCTTTGCTCTTTGAGTATTAGGAGAAAATAAAATATTAGGACAACTTTGCAGGTATAACTGGATATGTAACAGTACCTCAGAAACCAAAGTTGATTGAACATTTGGCACTCTGTTAAGGTTTGAAATGCTGATCAAGTCAATGGTTAATGAACCTGTGGAATACTTCTTGTATTAAAAGACAAGAGGGTATTTTTCTTATATGAATCATAGCCTAGGTTTAATATTTCTAAAAAATGTGAGAAATTTTTGATACAGGATTTATTGAAGAGAATATTTCAAGTTTACTGGTTGTAACTAGATGAGCAGTAAAACTGAAACATTAAAGGCACCTTAATTTGATAACTATCTTTGATTCCTTCTCATTTAAAGTATCTATGGAATGTTATAATTTCTTGGTTTTAACATGACATAAACATTCAGAGCACTTTTTAAAAAATTCAATTGGATCTTTACTATATTTCTATATAATCATTTTATTATTCATTGTATATGAAGGTGTCTTTAAAAATGAAGTTTATTTACTATGTAAGAAAGTTTTTCCTATCAGGTCTCATAAATTAAAGGATACTCAGCAGGAGGTTGACAGGGTGGGATGATTTAAAATAATGAAAAGATATAATTTTGAAATCTTGTTGAATGGAAATCCTTAGGAATTTCTACCGAAGGAAATATCAGATCAAGACACATGTTGGTGAATCCAAAAGCTGATGCGAAAGTTAAGACTTCCAGGATGACTGATGCTTCAATCTCCATGGAGTCACTAAAAGGTGCAGGAGATTCAGTAGAAGAACAGGTTAGTGATTTCATAGCTTTTTGTTACTCTTCATTCTTAATAAGTGCTAAACAGGGTAGAGGAAGCTTTGAAAGCACATTAGGTGACCTATATGCATTCTTACAAGATGAAGAGGATTCCAGGACCCTTTGCTGATATATCAACAAATATATCATTTATCACTGAAGCCGGGTGTGAATAGAAAGTATCTAGATTACACAGGGGTTTTCTCTAAAACATCAAGACTTGCTTTAAGCCTTAGCTAAGAAAATGTATTACCTTGATATGTCTCAAAAGAATACATTCATATCTGTGTGACATTAATAAATGGAATTGGCAAGAAACTTTAAAATTAAACATATTTTATGATTGTTATTGTGAATTGGTTAGTTGGTAGATGAATACTTTTATATAAGAAAAACAGCTTATTAAAAGAAAGTTAACCTGCACTACAATTTTTTGTTATTATTCCCTATACTTGGAAAATAATATAAAGATTTTTAGTTTCTGTAGCCCCACTCATTGACTTCTCCCTCATCTTAATGTCTGTAGTAATGTCTGTGAGGCCCTTTGGCATATGTCCTATATGACTCATTCATTTTATTTTACTTTTTGTTCTATTCTCTCTCCCCAGTTAGTGTTTAAGTCAGGGTAAGAAATCTGTGACTTGTGGACCAAGTGGTACTGCTACCTTTTTCGTACATGAAACGCTTTTGGAATACTGCTTTGCTCATTCTTTCATATAGTGTCTATGGATGCTTTTGTGTTAAAATGTCAGAGTTACTATAGAGAGTGTGTGCCAAGAAAACAAAAGCATTTATTGTTAGGCCCTTCATAGAAAAAGTTTCTGAGCTCAGGGTTCGCATTTTTTTCAGACCTTTCTAATATTTATTTTATTACTAATGATTATGTAGTAGTCTACTGGATTTAGCTGTGATTGACACTAAAGGCTTACTTATGTCACTTTTATCCCCCAAGTACCCATTTCACATTGGGGAGTAAATAGTTGCAAGTTCTTAACAAAAATTGAAAGCATCTTTTCATATACTGGTTTGTTTTGTCTTGAGTATAGCCTTGTTTTGAGTTAAGTCTGTGTTTTGTCCTACTTTATTAGCTATCACTCTTAGTGGGGTTATTTTGGTTGCTTCTTTGGGAATTATAATATACATCTTTAACTTACCACACCCTATTTTCAGCTAATATTTTCTTACTTCATTGATAGATTAAGGCCTTTTCAACAATGTGTGTGTACTTAATTTCTCCCTGCTGACTTTTGTGATACTGTTGTCATAAATTTTTCTTCTGAGTACAAACTCTAAAATATTTACTACTTTTACTCATTTAAGATCACTTGTCTTTATTTCAAATTGAGGCATAATTCATATATCATAAAATTCACTCTTTTAAAACCTACAATTCATTGTTTTTGCTTTGTGTATTCACTCAGTGTGGATCACCACAATCTAATTCTAGAATATTTTTACTACCCTAGAAAGAAACTCACAATGATTAAGTCACTCCCTGTGCCCTAATCATCTCAGCCTCCATCAACCAGCAATCTACTTTCAGTCTGAACAGATTTGCCTTTTATGAAAATGTCATATAAATGGAATCACAATGTGTGGCCTTTTTAACTGACTTCTTTCTTTTTTTATGATGATTTCAAGATTCTTCTGTGTTTTATCATGTGTCATTACTGCAGTCCTTTTTATGTTTGAATTCATGTTTTGCTTATCCATTTGTCAGTTAATGGTCATTTGGGTTGTTCTACTTTTTGGCTATTTGGAATATGCCTGCCGTGAATATTCTCATGCAGATTTTTCTGTGAACATATGTTTTTTAGTTATCTTCAGTATATATCTAGAAGTAGAATTGTTGGGTCTTATTGTGATTATATTTAAACTTTTGACAAAATGCTCAACTATTTTCTAAAATGTCTACACCATTTTATATTCCCACTAATAATGTATGAGAATTCCAGTTATCCGCATTCTAACAACACTTGTGTTTTATCTTTTTGGTGATAGTCATTCTATTGGATGTTAAGTGGTATTCTTTTCTTTTTTTTTTTAAATTTTATTTAAGCTATACAGATTTCATGTATTGCATATGTACAGATTCAGGAATGTAGTGATACTTTTCATCCTGCCCTCCCTCCTGCTCACGCTCTCCTCCTTCCTCCTCCCTCCTCCCTCCTATTCCCATTCTATTTTTCACAAAGATCTATTTTCAGTTAACTTTATATACATAAGATTAACCCTAGACTAAGTAAAGAGTTCAACAAATAATATGAAGAAAAAAAAAAAACAGTGTTTCTCAACAGTTGAGACAAGGACTATTCAAAATCATCGCAACTCAAATTGTCAATTTCACTTGTATAGGTTACCTTTTACATACTCTCTGTAACTCTGCCTTTCAAATAAATAAATAAATCTTAAAAAAGAAAATAGAGTTCTATGTGCCTCATGTATTTGAACATCCCTTTCTTTCTGCAAATTAGGGAATTTTTCTGTAATTATTTCACTGAATAGGCCTTCTAATCCATTCTTTCTTTCCAAGCCTTCAAGAACTCCTAATACCCATATGTTGGGTCATTTGATAGTATCCCATAAATCTCCAAAACTTTTCAATTTTTCTAATTTCTTCTTCTTCTTCTTTTTTTTTTTTTGATCTGATTGAAAAATTTCCAATGATTTGTCTCCTAGCTTGGATATTCTTTCTTCTGCCTCACGAAGTCAGTCAGTAAGGCTTTCCAATTTAGTTTTTATTTGACCTATTTAATTCTTCATTTCTTTTTTCTTTTTTTTTTTAACTTTTATTTAGCAAATATAAATTTCCAAAGTACAGCTTATGGATTATAATAACTTCCCCCCCCATAACTTCCCTCCCGCCCGCAACCCTCCCAATTCCCGCTTCCTCTCCCATTCCATTCACATCAAGATTCATTTTCAATTCTCTTTATATACAGAAGATCAATTTTATTTAATTTTGATTTCTCTTTAAAAAATCTCAATTTCATGGGAAAATTTTTCATTCATGTCATATATGGATTTCTTTAATTTGTGGATTTGCTTCTCATTACTTCTGAGTAATCCTGGTATTAATCTTTTGAATTCCATTCCTGCCATTTCATCAATCTCTTCATCTTCACATTTTAATATTGGAGTGTTGTTCTGTTCGTTTGGGGGCATTGTGTTGTTGTCCTTATTTTTATTTCTTGAATTGCTGCCTGTATTTTTAGGCATTTGTGGAGATACTTGTTGGTTTCTTCCTCTGTTGGCATTTATCTGTGGACTGTGCCTCTATGGCTCAGTGGAATGTCTGCACTTTCAGTTTATACCTAGAAGTTTACTGGGTATGGCTTGGAAACTCTGGTCAGTGGTCAAGAATGGGGCTAGAGTCCAGATGACACCCAGATTGGACATGGTAGATCTCCTATTGTTAACAGAAGGGGGCATATGGTCACCTCTGCTGGTGTGTTCACACCCTCACCTCCTCTCTTCCAAGGTGATCAATGCCTGGGTGTTAGCCCTTAGAGGGTGCAGTGGTCATCTGTGCTACTGTAAGAACTACACACAAGATCTGTGTCGTCCCCACTGTGAGCACAGATCCTGATGCAGTGACCCACCCCTGACAATCAGGGAGCTCTGAGCATATGGAGCCCCACACCATGATTACCCAGAGACCCAGCTACACCTGCTCATTCAACTTCTCTAACCTCTTAGGATTTTTCCCTACAACAATACACCGCCTTATACCATACCTAAATCTCTCAGCAAGCTAAAATGTAGCCACACTGCTCTAAGATATGACATGAACTGAAAAAGCAATTCCAAAAAAAAAAATCTCAGATATTCAAATCTCTGCATCAAACTTCTGTATCCACACAAAAAGACCTTATTAAATTTTACTCTCTATCTTTCTTAGTCTCCCTAGTTTTATCCTTACTTATTCTAGCTTAACCACCATGAGTAATTTCAATAATAAAGATGCTCACAAATAGAGATCAACCAGCAACAACTATTAACCAACTTCCATAACTATACAATGCTGCTACCCCCATAGAATCCTCTCAAATGAAACCAATTTCATCCACAGTCCCCCATATTTTAAAAATCAATTACAATCTCCATCTCATCATTTATTACCGTTAATATAATTACTCCTATTTCTATTATTACCGCAAATGCTAACATACTCAAAATTACTATATTTGACCCCCAAGTCTCTGAATACTCTGCAGTGGCTATAGCAGTTGTATACCCAAACACTACTAATATCCCCCCTAAATAAATTAAAAATATTATTAAACCTAAAAAAGACCCACCAAAACTTAGAACAATACCACAACGCACACCACTGCTAACAGTTAACCCAAGTCCCCCATAAATTGGAGATGGTTTAGAAGAAAACCCACAAAACCAGCTACAAATATAACATTTTTATTTATTTATTTATTTTAGAGTTATAGACAGGGAGACAGAGAGAAAGGTCTTCCCTCCGTTGGTTCATTCCCCAAATGGCCGTCACGGCCAGCGCTGCACCGATCCAAAGCCAGGAGCCAGGTGCTTCTTCTTGGTCTCCCATGTGGGTGCAGGGGCCCAAGCACTTGGGCCATCTTCCACCGCCCTCCCAGGCCACAGTAGGGAGCTGGACTGGAAGAGGAGCAGCCAGGACTAGAACCCGGTGCCCATATGGGATGCTGGCGCCACAGGCAGAGGATTAACCTAGTGAGCCTCGGCGCCGGCCCAAATATAACACTTAATAAAAATACAATATATGCCATAGTTCCCACGTGGACTCTAACCATGACCAATGACATGAACAATCACTGTTGTTATTCAACTATAAGAACCTAATGACCAACATTCGTAAAACACACCCATTACTAAAAATTGTCAATCACTCCCTGATTGATCTTCCAGCACCATCAAGTATCTCTGCCTGATGAAACTTTGGCTCTCTTCTAGGACTATGTTTAATTATCCAAGTCGTCACTGGCCTTTTCCTAGCCATACAGTAGGTACCCTCTCTTGCAGTCTCTGAGTCCCCGCAGTCTCAGCACACAAGGCTCCCCCAGTTACAGGGTGCAGAGGATCAGCCCTTCCTCACTAGCCTGCCCAGTCCACAGAGAGGCAGGTGTTCCCAGAGCCGGCTGCCTGTGGATGCTTCGCCGAGGCAGTTTTAGCCCCAGACTCTTGGAGCCTGTGATATGTTGAGAGGCCAGGAGCACTTCACAATCATCTGTGGGTGTCTAGACCCCTGTCAGTTCTCCCAGGCAGACTCAGAGTCGATTAGGAGCACAGGTTTTTCTCTCTGGTAAAATCTCTGGATCACATGCATGTATTATTCCCGCCGACTGCAGCCCTACTCATTTGACAATCATGCTGGGCACGTGCAAGAGTCTACAGCCAATACTACGTCAGAATGGCTCCTTCTCCCCACCCATTTCCAGATTCGTGTACTGGAGCTGCTGTGTTTTTCTCTGCTGACAAGGTGGCAACTGTTCCCACCAGTTGTGGAGTGGGCGCACATGATCTGCACTGCAGCAGCGGCTACCTACTTATGTCCAAAATAGCACTTGCCTTCTCTTAGCCAGTTGCTGGGTGCTGTTGTTGGTGGGGCAGGGGGTAGTGGTGGTGGTGATGGGGAGAGACAGCTGTGCCCCTTTTTTCTCTGACTAGGTGGGCACCATGTCCCCTCAGGGTTCTGGGCTGGGCTGAACGACAGTGTAGTCTGCTAGGCTCTCCCTTTAGCTATATCAGCAGTGGCACAGGCCACTGCAGAATGATCTTACCTTGCTCTGCAAAGCTGGCGCTTTCTCCAGCTCAGGGCTGCTGGGGTCATTTGTTGTGTTCCTGCTTGTTGCTGGGCGTGTGCACCTTCCACTCAAATCCACGGCATTTCTCCTCCTTCCACTGAATCTCCACTGCAGTTTTCCCTCCAACTCTCCCTTGAGAATGCACTTTCTCCACTACTTTTTTTTCTTTTTTGCTATTTTTCCCTAGCCTAGAGCTGACCACCCTGTTGCCATTCTGTCATCTTAGAATCACTCTTTATGTTTTAAATTGCATTTCCCAAATGACTGAAGATGATGAGCATCTTTTTCTGTATATCTTTGCCATTTGTATATATTCTTCAGACAATATCGTGTCTGATCATATTTGAATTGTCTTTTTATTTTGATTTTTTGATTCTGTGTATAAGTCCTTTATTAGATGTATACTTTGCTAATAATTTCTCCCAATATAGGCATTATCTTCATTTTCTTATTGTCTTTTGCTGCAAGAAAAAGTTTTTAATTTTGATGAAGTCCAGTTTGTTTTCTTTTCTATCCAGTACTTTGGTGTCCTACCTAAGAAACTGATGTCTAATCCAATGTCACAAAGATTTATGTCTGTATTTTCTGTTAAGAATTTATAAGTTGGTCATTATATTTAATGTTTCATTTTGAGGTGATTTTTGTATTTTGTGTGAGGTGGCAAATCAACTCAATCCTTTTTTTTAAATTTTATTTATTTATTTGAAAGGTAGAGTTAGAGAGAGACAGAGAGAAAAGTCTTCGATTCTCTGGTTTACTCCCCAAATGGTTACAATGGCCAGAGCTGTGCCGACTTGAATCCAGGAGCCAGGAGCTTCTTCTGGGTCTCCCATGTGGTTACAGGGGCTCAAGCACTTGGACCATCTTCCACTGCTTCCTTAGGCGTAAGCAGAGAGCTGGATCAGAATAGGAACAGCTGGGACTCGAACTGGTGCCATGTAGGATGCTGATGCTGTAGGCAGAGGCTTAGCCTACTGTGCCACAGCACTGGACCAGATCAACTCAATTCTTTTGCATGTGGATATCCAGTTGTACCAGACCATTTGTTGAAAAGGCTGTCCTTTCTCCATTGATTGTCTTGGCACCTTTGTCAGAAATCTGTTGACCATAAATGTAAGGGCTTATTTCTGGACTCTTCTGTTCCATTAATTTATGTTTTTATCTTTATGTAGTTACTACCCTGGCTTATAATTACTTTAGCTTTTCTGTAAGTTTTGAAATTTGGAAATTTAAGTTCTCCTACCTTATTTGTCTTTTCCAAGATTGGGCTATTCTGGATCCCATGTGTTTATGGAATTATAAAATCAGCACATATTTTTATTTTTGATGCTATTGTAAGTGGTTCGTAATTATATTTTCAGATTGTTTCTTTATTCTTTTATCTCACAATATGTTATACTTTTGATTTCCTTCTTGCCTTTCAAATGCCAGCTTTAAATTAAAGTCAAATTAATTAAATTAAAACCCAATACAAATTTCCTTGGATTTGAGTATTTTTAATAATCTTTTTAACTTTAAATTTAATGTAACTATATTTATTAAAGAAAAATTTTAAACTTGAAGAAAAATAAACAATAACAATCTAAACATCTATACTACCATATGCTGACTTTTACATCTTTGTTTTTCTCTGATTTGAGACTTAGGCGTACCTTTCCATCTTCTGCCTAGACATTTCTTCACAAATGTCTTACTGGCATCGTAAATTGAACATACTCTAAAACCAGCTCCTTCTTACCATCTTCTCTTTCCCTTTTTCTTCCCTGTCTTTCCCACCTTTGGCTATTGTTAATTCCAGGATTCATTTCACCCACCTTTGGCTATTGTTAATTCCAGGATTCATTTCAGGGTCTTTGGTTATTCTTTTTTTTTTTTTTTTTTTTTTTTTTTTGACAGAGTGGACAGTGAGAGAGAGAGACAGAGAGAAAGGTCTCCCTTTGCCGTTGGTTCACCCTCCAATGGCCGCCGCGGCCGGCGCGCTGCGGCCGGCGCACCGCGCTGATCCGATGGCAGGAGCCAGGAGCCAGGTGCTTTTCCTGGTCTCCCATGGGGTGCAGGGCCCAAGCACTTGGGCCATCCTCCACTGCACTCCCTGGCCACAGCAGAGGGCTGGCCTGGAAGAGGGGCAACGGGACTAGAACCTGGTGTGCCGGCACCGCTAGGCGGAGGATTAGCCTAGTGAGCCGCGGCGTCTGCCGGTTATTCTTGGCTACCTGAAATAATTGGACTGACTTTGGTGGTCGCACAAATGCCAATGATAATAGTTGTTGCTTCCTTTTACTTGTTACCTGTGGTTTGCTTGGGCTCCCTGAATTTCATTAAGATTCTTCTGAATGATACCAAAATACTGGGGAGAATGTTTTGTATTATACAAGGTAGGACGTATACTATAGTATTTAAGAGTACAGACTGTGGAAATTATGTTTGAATCTTGATTCTTCTGTTTAGCACCTGGGATCTTCTGTAACATGTACCCTTAATATAGAACAGAAATCATGCTTACCTGATAACATTTTTGCGAAAATGAAATGGGATAATAAATATAAAGTACTTAGAATATTACTGGCATGCAGTAAGCACTAAATGTAGATGTTAGCTATTACTGTTACTACTCTTTGGTCTAGTGCCCTTTGGAATTAAACTCGGGATACTTTAAATGCTTAGTAACTCGTGCCTCTGTTGCCAACCTTAATACACCCATAAAGAAAAGTTCTTACTGTCTTTCATTAGGTGTTTTAGTAACATTCACCGAGGGACTGTCGTTCCCTGACATTCCCTAGTATTTAAAGCAGGAACAGCATCTGCTTTGAAGTTCATTCGGTGTACTTTTTTGTATAAATTTTGTGCTCTCCCCTGGTGACAGACGGACAGTTCCATAGCCTGTTTTTAATTCACAGTTGGTTTAAATGAAACCAGTAGGTGATGTTCCACAGATAAAAGATACTTAAGAAATATCACTTTCCATGCTTATTTTAAGTCTCTCAAAAAGATAATTTTATCTTTTTTTATTCTTTTGTTTTAGAATTTCTGCAAAGGAGGGACAAAGAGTGCATCATTGAAAGATTTATGTCTTGAAGACAAAAGACGTATTGCAAACTTAATTAAAGAACTGGCCAGGTGAGACAAAACCTTATATAAAATGCATTACTATGTAAAATACAGCTTTTTTAGAGAACAAAAAATTACACTTATATTGTCATGCTATTATGTCATTGATCGCATAGGAGCAAAGACTTAGGAAAAAAATGCATTTTTTGTTGCAGAAATAGATTTAAAAAACAAAGAAAGAAACACTAGAAACAAGCCACTCTCCAACTTATATTTTCTTACTTGTTTCCCCAAATTGTTTGATGCAAATATCTATCAAGAAGGAAATTTTTGAAGCTTAGCTCTGTTGTTGAGGAGGTCAGTTTTGCTTTAATCAAAGGCATGGCTGTTACCTTTGATTTTGCTTCATTATCAATTTTTAAAAATTATAGTTGTATCAGAAGAATAGCTTCACTTTGCTAACTCCTATAGCTTTCATATAAGCAATTTGAATTTTCAGAATGATAATTCTCAACTGTTTGGAAATACTACTCTAGTTTATTAATGATGCAGATGATACATATTTACTCTTTATATAATTTTATTGTCAACATACATGTGTGGTTTTGGGGGTCTTAAAAAAGTACTTAATGGGCTGGTGCCACAGCTCACTTGGCTAATCCTCTGCCTGCGGCGCTGGCACCTGGGTTCTAGTCCTAGTCAGTGCGCCAGATTCTGTCCCGGTTGCTCCTCTTCCAGTCCAGCTCTCTGCTGTGGCCTGGGAGGGCAGTGGAGAATGGCCCAAGTGCTTGGGCCCTGCACCTGCATGGGAGACCAGGAGGAAGCACCTGGCTCCTGGCTTCGGATTGGCGCAGCATGCTGGCCATAGCAGCCACTTGGGAGGTGAACCAACAGAAAAAGGAAGACCTTTCTCTCTGTCTCTCTCTCACTGTCTAACTCTGCCTGTCAAAAAAAAAAAAAAAAAACAAGTACTTAATGAATGAAGATATAAATGGAAATGTATTAATATAAATTGTAAAAGTTGAATTTAGGGAGAGATCATACGTAAAAGTTGATAAAAAAATAGTGCTAGTTTTTTTTTCATTCAATTGTGTGTTTGGAAATAGTAGAACTTTCCTTCTTTTTCTTTGAACTAACGATAGGCATAAGATGTGTTTCAAAATGTATTTCATATTGAGGCCTAAAAATAATGTTTGTAGAGGCTTTTATAAAATGATTGAAGTTAAAAAGTTACCCTATTGGGGCCGGGGCCGTGGCATAGAAGGTTAAGCTTCTGCCTACAGGGCCAGCGTCCCATTTGGGTGCCGGTTTGAGTTCCAGCTGCTGCATTTCCAATCCAGATCCCTGCTAATCCACCTGGGACAGCACCAGTTGGGCTCCCACAGCTATGTGGGAGACCCAAAAGAAGTTCCTGGCTCCTGTCTTCAGCCTAGCCTAGCCCCAGCTGTTGTGGCCATTTGGGGAATGAACCAGTGGATGGAAGATTTTCTCTTTCTTTTTCCTCTCTCTCTTTTTTTAAAAGATCTATTTATTTATTTGAAAGTCAGAGTTACACACACACACACACACACACAGAGAGAGAGAGAGAGAGAGAGGTCTTCTATCCGATGGTTCACTCTCCAATTGGCCGCAGTGGCTGGAGCTGCACCGATCTGAAGCCAGGAGCCAGGAGCTTCTTCCAGGTTTCCCACGTGGGTGCAGGGTCCTAAGGACTTGGGCCATCTTCTACTGCTTTCCCAGGCCATGGCAGAGAGCTGGATCAGATGTGGAGCAACTGGGTCTCGAACCCAGCGCCCATATGGGATGCTGGCGCTTCAGGCCAGGGCATTAACCTGCTGCGCCACAGCACCAATCCCACTCTCTCTCTTTCTTTGTCTCTCTCTATTTCTGCTTTTCAAATAAATGAATAAATAAATCTATTTTTAGAGATATTTATTTATTTATTTATTTGAAAGGTAGAGTTACAGGCAGTGAGAGGGAGAGACAGAGAGAAAGATCTTCCATCCACTGGTTCACAACCCAAATGGCCACAGAGGCCAGAGCTGAGCTGATCTGAAGCCAGGAGACAGGTGCTTCTTCCGGGTCTCCCACATGAGTGCAGGGGCCCAAGCATTTGGGCCATCTTCTAATACTTTCCCAGGGCAAAGCAGAGAGCTGGACCAGAAGTGGAGCAGCCAGGACTAGAGCCGGCACCCATATGGGATGCGGGTGCCTTAGGCAGAGGATTAAGCTACTGCGCCACAGTGCCGGCCCCAATAAATAGATCTTTAAAAATCACAGAACCATCATTTTCACAGAAGAACAACAAAAAAGTGTGGGTTGGGGAGTGAGGTGGTTTTGGTACAGAACATAGGGTGTGAGAATTCAAAGTATATGCCTTAATCAGAATTTGATATACCACTTGAGACAAGCAGTGAACTCTTTCATTAGACTTATTTGGCTATTGTAGTCCCTAACGTAGAGTTTTCATTAGCTTCAATGTTCTTTTTATTCTCAATATTTTGAAGATGATCTTCTCAAAAGGCTATTACCACAGAGATGGCTATAGATGTCCTTAGCACATGTTTGTTTGATGGCATTGAAAAGCTATTTATTAATGATCTTTTGTGGCCATTATTGTTCTTACTGCCCCATTTCATTTCAGCTGCCTCGCTTGCAGAATACTGGAAATATCAGAGCATATTATTTTGTTTTTTATAATCCTTTGTTTCCTAGCACAATGATAATTTCTTGGTAATTTTTTGGTAGAAGCTCAGAGTGTTATTATAAGATCAGTATGAGTATAAATCTGATTATACTGCTAAAGATCCCATTATTACTGTATTTTCTATTAATACACCGGACCATAGGAGTACACAGGACCACAGGATTACAGGACATTCTTGGCTGTTTGAATTATGCCAAGTTTCTGCTATAGGGCATTTCAGTTTGATTTTTTTCTACCTACTCTCCCCAAACCATTTTCTTTATTTTTTGCAAAACTCTTTCATTGAAATACGTTTGTAGAGAATAGAATTCTGTATACCTCAGGCTCTGGCAACAAAGCATTCCAAGCCTTTATGTTCTTTTCCTCCAAATTTCCAACCCTGTTTCAAATAGCTGTTTTCCCTTTGGCATCAAATACACTCATTTCTCTTTTATCTTAAGAAATAAAATACTCGTTTGATCATATATTTCCCTGTAGCCACTTTTTTTTCTTTGTGCTCTGCAATAAACTTCATTCCTAGAGAGAAGTCTATAATATTATTTTCTACTCTATTGTATTTTATTCTCTCATGGAGCATACTTGCTCATCAGTCTTATCTATTTATAAGTATATCAAACTAATTTGCACACAGCAGTGTGTACCTACTTTAAGTGTATATTTCAGTTAGTTTTGACAAATATATATAATACATCCTTTTCACAATATACACATTTATGTCACTTCAAAAAGTTACCTTTAGATGGTTTTAGTTCCTTCCTCTATCCTCCATTCCAGGCAACCATTAATGTGATTTCAGTCATTATAATTTAGTTTTATATGTTTTGATGCACCATATATAAATGGCCATACAGTGTGGACTCTTATTATTCTCTGGTTTCTTTCATTCAACATAATTATGTTGAATGCTTGTGTGCAGTAAAATATGCATAACATAAAATTAGCCATTGTGATGATTTTAAGTGTATCATTCACTGGCATTAAGTATATTCACATTGCTGTGCAAGAGTCTCCATTATCCATTTCCAGAATGTTTCATCATCCAAACTGAAACTCTGTACCTTTTAAATAGTAGCGCATTCTCCTCTTCCCCTTACTCCTGGTAACTATGGTGCTACTGTGTATCTCTATGAGTTTGACTCTTGAAGTACCTCCTATAAGTGGAATCATATAATATTTTATCTTTTGTATCTGGCTTATTCACAGCATAACCTTTTTTAAAAAATTTATTTACTTGTTTATTTATTCATTTAGAAAGCCTGAGTTGGGGAGAAGGAGAGGAAAGGAGAGGGATCTTCCATCCAGTGATTCACTCCACAGATGGCCTAGTGTTGGGCCAGGCCAAAGCCAGAAGCCTGGAACTTCATCTAGGTTCCCCTGTGTCGATGGCAGGGGCCCAAGTACTCAGGCCACCTTCTGCTGCTTCTTTCAGGCCATTAGCAGAGAGCTAGATCTGAAGTGGAGCAGTCCAGAATTGCACTAGCACCCTTATAGGATGCTGGTGTCACAGGAGGCAGCTTTACCCACTGCCACAACACCAATGTCTCACAGCATAATTTTTAAAGTTGTTTTCAATTTTTTTTTTTTTTTTTTGACAGGCAGAGTGGACAGTGAGAGAGACAGAGAGAAAGGTCTTCCTTTTGCTGTTGGTTCACCCTCCAATGGCCGCCGTGGCCGGCGCTCTGCGGCCGGCGCACCGCGCTGATCTGAAGCCAGGAGCCAGGTGCTTCTCCTGGTCTCCCATGGGGTGCAGGGCCCAAGCACTTGGGCCATCCTCCACTGCACTCCCGGGCCACAGCAGAGAGCTGGCCTGGAAGAGGGGTAACCGGGACAGAATCCGGTGCCCCTACCGGGACTAGAACCCGGTATGCTGGTGCCGCAAGGCGGAGGATTAGCCTATTGAGCCACGGCGCCGGCCTAGTTGTTTTCAATTTCTTGTGTATAAGAGTAGTTAACTTTTAGATTGTTCAATAATATTTATTGTACAGGTGACTGTGCCTTAATTTATTTATCTGGTCATCTATAAATGTACCTATGAATTGTTCCAGTTCTTGCCTCTTATGAGCAAAGCTTCCGTAAACATTCATGTACAAATAATGGATCTCATTTTTCTTAGTAAAAATCATCTGCATATGTTAAGTGCATATTTATTTATTTTTTAAAGACATTTATTTGAAAGAGTTACACAGAGAGAGGAGAGGCAGAGAGACAGAGAGACAGAGTGAGAGAGCGAGAGCGAGAGAGCAAGAGAGAGAGATCCTTCATTAGATGTTTCACTCCCCAATTGGCCGTAACATCCAGAGCTGTGCCAATCTGAAGCCAGGAGACAAGAGCTTCTTCCAGGTCTCCCACGTAGGTGCAGGGG